TATTATTTATTTATTTATTTACCTTGTATATTTTCAGGGTACCGTCAAAATTTCCTAAACTTCAATTGAGATACTGCGAGTAATTGTTTCTACAGGGTGTTCAAAAGTTAAAGAAAGAACCGATTGGACCGTTCATACTGCAGGATCCATTTAGACAAAAAAATATCATCTGGGACCCGACACTAGCTACGCCAGCTTTTCGTCAGAGAGCACTAGGGTCGTGGACTGTAATAACTTTTTGGTATCATTAAGGTAGGTTGTATTGGGCGCCACGTAACTTAACAAGAAATGTGTTGAGTTCTCTCGATTTTGCTGAGTTACGAAATTCAAAATCGTGAAACAAAGATTTGATAAAAAAATAGTAATGTTACAGTGAATGAGATAAAAAAATTTAAGTAGATAAAATTTAAAATTATTTATTTGAATTCCCAAAAGTTGCACCTGATTGTAAATTAATTGAGTAGATAAAAAATATTATATACAGTTTAGTGATAAAATAAAAATAATGAAATAGTTTTAACAAAATTATTTTGACAGGTTGTACTGTTATAAACAAAACTGATATAAAAATATTAAAACATGGGCTAAGAGCGTCACATAATCATAGTAATATAATCGTGCGTTACATACATTTTCAGAATATCGTTTAGTAGGTTTGAACAATTTCAAAATATTTATAGATATATAAACAAAAAGAAAAATTATAATAAATAATATGTGTATGATGCTTATCTGGTTATCTAGGGAGTGGAATAAGATGTTGCTCCTGAAGGCGGGCATCCATTTGTGTCAAATGCTCCGTAACGTAACACCGAACATGTTACGTTACAGCTAGTGGAGACGGAAAATTGTAACAAATTTGACACGCGTAACTAATCCGAAACGAACCATCAGTTGTCGGTTTTTAGTCATCGCATCAAAGGCATGCAACAGTACTTTCTGCCACATGTTGAGACGGGGTTACCCTTTTGGCCGTAACGTTGCCTGTTGCACATGTGATTTTGTCTTATTTTTTGTTTCGTCAGTCTTTTGTATATGGTCTGAGATCAGTCTGTTTTCTGCAGTGACTAGAAAGAGTGTGTTTTTCTGTGTTTGTGCCATGGAGTGGAGTAAAGAAAAGAATTCTGGAGATTTCCGTTTCTTATTCTTCAAAATTGTATGATAAATAAAAATATATGACGCTGCTGCTAACTGCAATTGCAGTGACGAATCCATTATTGCAGTCAGGTTCATACTGCGAGTTTATGTTCCTGTGTCGTCTCGTAACCTTATTTTGTTACGTTACGGAATGAATGATACGACCAAAACCACACATACTTTCTCAGCAAACCGTGTCACCTTTTGCAACAGGCCGTAACATGTTCGTTGTTACGTTACGGAGCATTGCCACAAGTGGATACCCGCCTTAAAGGATACTTCTCCCGTGCCTTCTTGCCCCTAAAGCATTGCATAGTTTCTGTTTGTTAGTAGTAGTGTGTAGGCGTTTGTCTTATGGACAAGAATCAACTGTTTCTGTTTCGATTAAAAAAATGGAAGATTTATTAAAATTGTGAGATTTAAAACGCCTTATTCCTTTACATATACTAATGTATACATTTACGTAGGTACCTAACTTGTACCCGTAAAATAAATGAAATAGAATAAATATGTGTTATGTGTCTGTAACATGTAGGCATAATAAAATAATGTTTTTAAATACCAATACTAAATTCTTCGTTTTATCTGTACAATGAAGTATGTATAGGTAAAAAAAATCTAAACTCCTGTTTTAACTTATGGGTGCCATATTGTCATCAGTGTATCATATATGTATATAAAAAAATCTCAATAACTTGTCAAAAATCAAGTAAAAGACTTGATGATGGTTTCTCTTTGTCTCAAACTTGAAACAAAAATTTGAGTCTGCAAATGGCACAGTTGATATAAAAACGCTCTACAAAATTATGTTAATTTAAATATGGATACATGGTCTTAGAAGCTGTATTTAGTAACTCTTTTAGCACTGTTTATAAATATATTTAGCAAAAAAGTTTTTTGTTATATTTTTAATAATAATATCTATAAGTAATTAACAGAGTTTGTGTATTTTTTTACATGTAGTTGTAAATAAAATATGTACCTATCACTTAATTTGGGTTTCAATTTTCCCTGATCCTAGATCTATCAAGAAAGAAATCATTGTATGTATTTTAATTTTTAATATTACCTAATTAACAAAACTTATTTTTTTTTAGATAATTCACTTTTATGTTTTTCAAAAGATGTTAACTTAAATGATGATTATTTTGGTAAGTGCAAATTTCTAAATGCTCAAATTAAGAAAAAATAGAAACTGAAATAAATGTACAGGGTGTTGCAAAATGTTGTTCAAATAATTTTACATCCAAATATACGAAAAAAATCCTATAAACGTAGGTCCACAAATGCTTCGTTTTCGAAATAGGTGTTAAAAATATGTTTTTTATTGATAATTTCTAAATTTTTCATTGAAAATCGTTTAAATTTGGCTTCATACATTTATGATACTTAGCTTATAATTTGGTATAATTGATTACATTGCAGACCCATCGGGGGCGTAGATATGGGGGAGTACCTATAGATTTTTGACCAGAAAATCTACGCCACTGGTTTTTCTACTGGTTTTTACTTTATTTTTAGGAACCTCATTTATTTTAAAGCAAAAAGTCCCCCTTGCACATTTGTCATTTAGAGAGCGGCTTTCAAGCTATTGAAGATTATTAAAAATAACGCAAATATTTTTTAAAGAAACATTAAACATTTACTATCAAACTCGTGTATCTTGACTTCAATGTACCTACATTTGTATTAAAATGTAAATATCCAAAACAAGAAAGTATTAACAACAAACTCACTTTATTAGCATTACCAATAACATATCGATATAAGCAATAATTAACAATTTCTCGGTTAGGATAATCTAAAAAAAATAATAAACTTTTTTTTGACACACTTTTTTCGAAAACGAAGCATTTGCGGACCTACGTTTATAGGAAATTTTTTAGTATTTTTGGATGTAGAATCTACTCTAGAACTCTCTGAACAACAATTTGCTATACCCTATATACAGGATGTCCCGTTCATGAGAAAATAATAGGGGTAGTTCATGTAAAGTTTTTTTCTTAGACGCCCTGTTTTCGAAATACAGTGTGTTGAAGTCGTTACTTTCCAAATGGGTTTCCTTAATTNCACATATTTCAGTCCTATTATTATTATTATTATTATTATTATTTTCTATAGGGTCCTGATATAGTCTTTTTTAAATGACCTCATAGAAAATGATCCAATGGGGTCAAATCTGGTGAACGAGCCGGCCACCTTATAACCACCATCCTGTTGGAACCATAATTCATTTGTTTTTTTTTTTATAATTTATTGTTTGTTAGTTAATATGTGATGTGAATAAATCCATTATAACAATATTTAAAAAAATATATTTTGTCTCGGTGTGATTTAACTAAAATACATAATAGATTTTCCTGTTATATACATCATACATTGCATATCGAAGTCGACATATCTCGAAAACAAGTGAATATTGGGAAAAATTTTATATTACAAAAATTACTCAAAATTTAACGATCTTTCATTTCGAGGTTCCAGGAATGAAATAATTTTTTAGTATCGCCACGCCATCTATACAGGAAGATTTGAACTAATAATTCTAACTGCAATTTGAAGCTATTCGAGGGACCTAACAACCCCAGTTTCCGAAACTAAAATAAATTTCTTCATTTTGAAGACATTGGCAGCGGGAGTGTTAAGTGGCTCACCCTGTATATAAACAATTAATATAACTTCAATATTTTTTTGTTGGTACTTCGGAACTTCAGGAAAATTAGAAATGTTCTAATTCGTGAATAACTTTGTGAATACATTTATTAAATTATTTGACAGTAGATTTTATGTATTACTCTTGTCCAGCTTTTTTATGAATTAATTCAGGAAGAAATTGGCAATGTACAGATAAAATAGGTTTTCATTCCACATACAATTTCCTAGAATTTTAAAATTAAACACAAACAATAAAAACGTAATATGTACTTATTAAAAATTTAATAGGTATCATATAATTTTGTAATTAAGTTTTAGATTAATTGTTAATTTACCAATTTTTGTAATACCTTTATTATTTTATAGTATTTTGAGTTATTTTCATTTATGAAAGCTTGCTTGATATTATAATATTTGAAATGGCATTGTTCTCTTGGCATTTCTTCATCCAGAAATCTGAGGTTATAAAACCAAATGGAATTTCGGAATTCAGAATAACTCGACAGTACATAAATTCAATAACAGAACATGAAAATGCAGATAATTTTTTTGCAAAACAATTGAAATTTCACATTTCAAATTTTACGACCTTTTTGAAATTCATTACAATGTCTCTTACTTAATGACTCTGATGTTTAAAAAAAAATTAGCACCCTATAAATAATATCTATACTTGTTTGTTACTAAAACGTAAAAATATAGCATGGGTATGGTACATCTAACGGCCACTTGTAGGTACCTATCTTTTATTCCATATATGTAATTACATAAATTTTAAATTTTAGTTAATAGTATTTATTTTTTATTCATACCTAAATAGTTATGGTTTTGTATTTTTTTTTTTTTTTCAGTTATCGGATGAAGTGACAAGAAAAAAAACTGAATACCAGAAGTACCTAGAGTTGTACAAATTAATGAGATGTAAATTTGAGGAGCATTATGTTAAATGTAAGTAATATTTTTTTTAACTATTCAGTTTTAATTTTTGTAAACGTTGCACTTTGCAAAACATTGCCTATTGAATTCAGTAATGTTTTTTGGCCATGATCTATTAGAAAATTTATATCTATAGAACTTTCTGAAGAGTGCTTGTAAGAAAACATTAAAATATATTTTTAATATCATTTTACTTTATAGAATTAAATATCAACCGTTTTAAATATTTTATATTTTTAATTTTATTGTAAATTGTGGGTACAGCTAATCTCTAACAAATAAATGTATATAAATGGGAAAAGTGGATATGTAATCAAATGTAGTATACTACATACTTGCTTTAAATAAAAAGCAATGTCCAAAACTTCTGTTCAGTTTATAAATAAAAAAGACATACCAATGGGAGCAGGCAAATGACTGAGATACCTCAATGCTCGATATTTTGATATTGTAAACAAACTATATCTATATTTGTAATTTTTGAGATAACTTATTATGTAAATATGGAGTTGTGTTCAGCATTGCATTTCAGATTTTCATCAAGTTCGCGACCTTGAACGAAAATAAGTTTTGGCACGATTTCGATAATAGGTAAACGAAGGAATCAAAATTAGCATCCTTTCAGCTATATGTTGCAGCTGTTCGATTCCAACCAAACCGTTTAGCTAATTCAAATTTCAAATCAAAATTTACCAATTACGGTTCTGTTATACCATTAAGAAAATACACTGTAAGTAACGTTTATGAACATTTTCTGATTTTGAATTTTATCTTATGTCATATAACCTATCAGAGCTTTATAGAGCCTTACGAATTTGTGAACCTGCGTAACTAACTTTGATTTATATTGAATAATCTGAAGACGTTAATAGATCATCCAAAGTGTTAAATGTGTGAATTAGAACTATTTGCAACTACTTACTTCTTTTAATATAGTGTGGGTGTTTGTGCGCTTAAATTCAGACAAGGAAATACATATACATGTAATATTAAGTATGTCCAAGTATTCAAGGGGATAAAAAAGAACAAATTACTCAAAAATATATGTTACTGTAGTTACATTAATACGTTATGTACTCGTATAATAAAAATACAAATAGGTACTTAAATGATTTTTTTAATTTTTATAACTTTCCAAATATCTTAAAAAATTTTTTAAAATTTACATTTAGCTGGTCGCGGCGGCAGAAAACTAGATGAGGTCAGGGATAAATACCAAAAAGCTTGTAGGAAATTACACTTAACCCATAACGAATATGTCTTATTGCTGTGTGAAGCCGCGGAATTTGAAAAGGATTTCAGGACTGTCTTACTTCCTGGATTATTGGAGCATCAGCAGTCGCAGCAGGAAGCATTCATTTCTACGTGGTAAGCTTCTCAAAATAAGATAAACACAAAATTTATTTTACGGGGGTTGCATTTTATATTTCGGGAATAAAGAGCAATAAAAAAATTAATCATCGTATATGGCTTTATTGTCTTTCAAAATATTCTCCAAGAAGATCAATACACTTTTGCATGTGCTTGAACCAATTTTCAAAGCACTTTTTCCATTCCAATCCAGGTATCTCCAAAATATGTTTTTTGAATGCACCAACCGTTTCTTCAGGCGTCGAAAAACGTTGACCTCGTAACTTATGTTTGACATGCTTAATTAAAATGTCATTGGGTGCCAAATCAGGGCTGTATAGCGGATCACTCATCAAATTCGTTTTTTTCTATTTTCAAAAAGTCTTGCATGAGCGGATGTCTGAAAACTCTCATTGTCGTCCTTGTGGAAAATGATGCATCTTCACCGGTTGCTTTCCTTTATTTGTCGGAAGACTTCTGGCATACAAATTTCTGTGTACCATTCAAAATTGACAGTCCGACGTTGCACTAATGGTACAGTTACCACAGCATCATAGTTTTCTTGAACAACAATCCATTTTGAACGACCTTTACGAAATTTGTCAGTGAGCGAACCACTGCCACAATTGAATTGCATATGCCACCGATATACAGTGGTTTTTGATGGTGCTTGATCGCCAAAAGTCGAATTAAGTTCATCGATGCACTTTGTTGAGATAATCCACGTCGAAAGTTGTAAAAAATAATCGCACGGAAATGTTCACAATTTAATTCCATTTTTTGGCCATGACGAATTTTTCAAGTTACTGTAAAGAACACATATGCACCTATACGTCCTGAGTAAGTATACCAACAAATAGTCGAACTTTACATTAGGGAAGTCGGTCGTCAGATGGCAGCACCAGGATCGACCATTCTCGAATTTTAAAAGGCAACCTTTGTATGTTAGTTACTGTACTTACCATTATTTTCTTGGCTCCAGGAAACAGATACTGAATGATATAGCAAGTAACTCGGACCTAACTTCGGAGAAATTCAAAGAGATCCAAAAGAGAATAGAAGTTAGTATAGAGTTGATAAAACCCTGTGATGAATATAAAGACTTTACAGAAAAACACAAGTAAGTATCCACAGTGCACAAAAAGTTTCTACTGTTCTTGATTTTATATATTTTTTTTGATTAATTGTTTTCACAATATTTCACTTTTACCGAGATTTAAAAACTAACAATGTCTTTTTAGGACAACTCCTACAGAACCTGTAAAATTTACATTTGATGAGAGCTTGGTGGAGGATTCTGCTGGAAAACTCTTACCCAACCAGCTCACGGTAGATAACCTTACGGTGGAGTGGTTGAGGACCAAACTCAACGATTTAGAAGCTAGCATTAAGGAGAACCAAGAGAAAAGGACGACGATTACTAGCAGCCATGAAGGAGTAGTCAATGGAAAAACCACCCCAAACAGTGAAGTGAATAACCGGTAAGAATTGTCGCCATATATTTTGTGTAACCTAAAAATTAAATGTGTCATTTGTGTATTTTTAGGTTATCTTCCAGTAGTATAGATCTGTCTAAGAAAGAGATAAACGAGTTGAAATGTCAAGAAAGAAAAATGCAGAAACAAACCGACCTCATTAAAAGTGCTTTAAACGAGTTGGGATGTGAGGAGGCTCCGGCGGCTTGCGATCTCTCAATTGACAATCAAACTTTCATCAGCAACTCTCCCGAACAGGTGAAAAAACTTTACGTACTATGCTTCAGATCCAAAATAGTAGGCATTGTGTCGTAAGTGTATCAAACCCAAATTTTTACGTCTTAATGTGATAAAATAATTTTAAATATTCTCTACGAGGAAATTGTAATGTGCCATTCATTTCGCATAGTGTTCCAATATGTTCAACCTGTCCGTGCGCATTTGATATGATTTATTGTTACAAACACTGTTCATCTACTCTTTTACTTCTGTTCTATTTCTTCCTATCACTTTTGTTGTATACTAAATATATATTTAAATATAAATAAAAAAAGGTACTTACCTACCATTGGATCTTTGAATATACCAAGGTGAGTGCAGATTTGTAGGGATAATCTAGTTTTGACCAAATTCGACATGTCTGCTTCTTGCTCTAAATTTAATTAATTTTGGAACCCTCTAATATGATACGCCCATGGAATCACATTATGTGCCTACTATTTTGGAGTTGGGAGTTTATACATTTACAAATATACAATCTCTTCAAAGCAATTTCAAGCAAATGTTTAGGACACCAGGTGAAAGTAGTTGTTAATTCCATGCTGAAGGTGTCGGGACAATCACGACTAACACCTTACTCCTTAACGATTTTAGGGCAATGGTTCCGAAAGTGCGCTGAGTAAACGCAGCATTTTCGAGCGTCAGAGGATAGTTAATATGTTACGTAAACCGTTTAGGCGAAAATCTGCACCCTCTTCCCCCATTGCTCCGCCGCGCACTAAGGGCAGGAGGGACTCCGCCCCGCGCAGCGAAGGCGGAGAACCTGTAGGTCACTGCATGCTTTGGATTGATTAAATACTAATCTCTGGGGTAATTGATCCCTAAATACCACTAGGACAATTGTGTGTTCGTTCGTATGCTCTCGCACTATCAAAGCTTGTAAGCGGCAAACGTTTCTTTACTTAAACTTGCAACTTAACGTGTTTGCGTAAAACTAATGACAATGCGTTACTGTTTTATTTTTAATTCTTTTCTGAATTTGTAGTGGCCTCTGCGGCATGACTTTTTTTTTTGATAAAGCTTTTAGTTGCAAGGAGCTTACAGGTATCTCTTTAAAGGTCTCAGCCACTGCAAATAAGTCATTAGTAGACGAGGAATGGTTCCATGGAGTGCTCCCGAGAGAGGAGGTTGTGAGGCTGCTGACGCTAGACGGAGACTTTCTTGTTAGGGAAACTACCAGAAATGACGAGTGTCAAACGGTTCTCTCCGTTTGCTGGGGAGGACATAAGCATTTCATCGTGCAAACTACAGCAGAGGTAAGTTGCAAACAACGTTTCTTTCAGAATTTCTCAAATTTTATGGAGTAGTTTCGTCGTGTCTCCGTACCAACTCTGTCGTACTTTTGTTGGTTGCGTATTAAGAATTAATTTATGCAATTGATATTTCCATTCATAATTTTTAATCCTTTCCAAACCATATTTTATTATCACTAAGCTTAAACAGACAAAATATTTGGATTTTATCAGAAAAAAAAAACGAAAATCGCTTAAAAAATTAACTAACTTCAGTTGGCAAAAATCTTGAACCTTTTTTTTAGATAACGCATAATTTCTTTGATATTACCATTAGGCCAGGGCAGATCTGCCGAAATATCCCACTTCTTGGATGAAGAGGGGGCAAGCTAATTTTTGCTGGAATACCTTCAGTACAACTCACATAATGAAAGTGTAGATCCCTAGATCTGGGCGAGGTCGGAACATTTACAAAATTGCAAAATTGTTTAAAAAATTATAAAAAAAACTATTTTATCTGAGTTTTTCTACTTATGTCTTGGAACCTATGCATTTTGGAAGAATATTGAAGAGGAAAAAAAGTTTTAGAATTGAATTTTGCACAATATACTGTAAGTTAAAAATGTTTAAATTTATTACCGATGTTGCAAAATAGCAATAATCGATGAAAAAAAGGCATCAAGTTTTTTGGATAATTTTTTTTAAATATTTTAATTTTTCAAGGGCATTCTAATTTTGATAATAAAAACTTTAGAGTATAATAAAACAACACACCAAATTTAATTAAAATCGGTTCGATATTGTTCGCAAAACTTTTTAAAAAAATTTTTTCGAATTTTCAAAATGTTGCACAGCCTCAAATAAAGCATCTAAATACTTGAAAATTTGTTCACACAGAAAAGACCACTCAACCTTTCAAATGGTTTTTGAAAAATTGAAATTGGTTGATTAGGTCGGCCACAGTAAATTTTTAAAGTTAATACTCTTTTTTTATTTTTAATCAATTAGATTACATTTATCAATTTGCAATTTAGTTTTTTTCAAAAATTATAATTTTAAAGTACTCGGAATGACGCTTCTTTTTTTTAAAAAAAAGTTAAATTCCGTTTATTGGTTCTCGAGATATAAGCCGTCAAAATTTATCGGCATCTACCGTTAATTTATAAACAATTTAACAATAATCTTTGATCCAGTGGCTTCGTTTTTCCGAGTTCAAAGCTGGAAAAAATTTTCATAGCCATAAGTTATCGGCAACATAGATAAATCAGTGGGAAAACTGTCGCTCGCACGCGTGAAAAGTGACTCAAAACACGAAAAATGGGGGAGGGGGCTTTCACTCCAAGACTAAATTCGGAGGTTCAAAATGCGAAGGTATAAAAAAAATTGCATTATCTCTGCTTCTAATGGACCAATTTCGATCTTTTTTTTTTTAATCCGATGTCTCGCGAGCCAAGGAGTTTGAATATCGTAATGCCAATTGTCTAATTTGCACATATTTTGTTATAAACAAAGTTTATTAATTATGCATTAATTATACTGTATATTTTACCCTGCTATTGAATTTTTCCAATGAAAAAATTTGTTTACGTATATATTTCAACACTGAATATGAATCTATTTAGTTATAATTATTACAATTATTTAAATAATTTTTGTTTAAACAAATTCATTTTTTGTTTTTATTTGGAAATTAATTTTTTTGTCAAATACAGATAAAATTAAGAAAAAAATAGTACCTTAAAATTATAATTTTTGAAAAAAACTAAATTGCAAATTGATAAATGTAATTTGTTTAAAAATTAAAAAAAAAGAGTGTTTTACTATGGCCGTTCTAATCAATCGATTTTAATTTTTCAAAAACCATTTGAAAGGTTGAACGGTCTTTTTTCTTTGAAAAAATTTTCAAGTTCAACGAATATATTTTTTTTGTGTTTCTTGTGAAAATATGTTAGTTTATCATGTTTTAAGAGCCCTCTCAAAAAAATTTTTTTAGAGGTTGCTCAAGATTTTTAAAAATTTCCAAAATCTTCAAAAATTCAATTTTTTTTTTAATTCTTTTTCTCGTTATTTTATCATTTTCTAGGTTGACAAAAATCTTGATTCTGAAAATTTCAAATCAATATTTTAATTTCTAAAGGTAGTGTACCTGTTTTAGAACGACCTCTAAAAATAAATATCAATGAACTAATAATTTTTTTTTATTTAATTAATAATTTGATGAACAAAAGAATAGAAATATATCATGACACTTAAATTTTAAAAAATTAAAAAATTATAAATATTTGATACTCACAGTGCGGTAGTAAATTTTGCCTCGAGAAATTTTTTAAATGTCGTGATTTATTTTCTATTTCTATTCTTTTGGTCATCAAATTCAATAAAAAAAATATTAGTTCGTTGATATTTATTTTTAGAGGTCGCTCGAAAATATTTTAGGTAAGTACACTACTTTTAAAGTTAGAAGTTTAGAAATTAAAATATCAATTTGAAATTTTCAGAATTGACATTTTTTTCAACCTAGAAAATGATAAAAAAACGAGAACGATTTTGGAAATTTTTAAAAATCTTCAGCGGCCTCTAAAAAAATTTTTGCTGTTTCGCAACATCGGTAATAAATTTAAACACTTTTAACTTACAGTATATTGTGCAAAATTCAATTCTAAAACTTTTTTCCTCTAGGACATTCTTCCAAAATGCATAGGTTCCAAGACATAAGTAAAAAACTCAGATAAAATAGGTATTTTTTATATTTTTTAAACATTTTTGCATTTTGAAAATGTTCCGGACTTAGCCTAGATCTAGGGATCTACACTTTTATTATGTGAGTTGTACTGAAGGTAATCCAGAAAAATATTGCTTGCCCCCTCTCACATCCACCTCAAAACAGATCCGCCCTGGTCTACATAACAATTATTTATTTTATATAAAATCCAATGTGGCATCAATACGGAAAAATTTAAATATTTTTTCAAAAATAGTGCTTAAACGGAACATAGTTTATATCATACCTTCTAGAACTATCAGGATATTTTTTGGTCAAAATTTAGTATACCCTGACTCCATTACTTGATCTATCTATTTTTTTTAATGGAATATTGAATGGATAGAAAACATTTGTACATTAAGTGAAAATTTTTAGGGTTTGTTTAGATTCGAGGGTCCAGCATTTCCAAGTATAAGGGAGTTAATTCTGTACCAGTTTAACAGTGGTCTCCCCGTGACGAGTAGGTCTGGTGCCATTTTATACAAACCGATACCTCGAGAACGATGGGAGCTCAATAACGACGATGTCGTCCTTTTAGATAAAATTGGAAGGGTAAAAGCACTATTAAAACTTTTAGATGTTCCGCCAACGATACACGTTCTTTGTTTAGGGTAATTTCGGGGATGTGTATAGAGCGCAGTTGAAGAACAGCAATGAGATAGTTGCGGTTAAAACCTGCCGAGTGACGCTGCCCGAGGACCATAAAAAGAAGTTCTTGCAGGAAGGCAGGATACTGAAGCAGTACGATCATCCTAATATTGTTAAATTAATCGGGATTTGCGTCCAGAAACAGCCCATCATGATAGTTATGGAGCTCGTACCAGGTGATTTTCATAAATTGATATTATACAGGGTGTAACTCTGAAGGGGGGGGGGTCACAAATTTAACAATGAAGACACATAAACACATTGTACCGACATCACTAAACACTGAAATAAACAATTTTATAAGGTTACATACATTGTACAAAACATTTCTAAATACTACAAGGGTGGATCAAATATAAACATTCTACATAGTGCCCCGCCCTAGAAACACATTTTTCCCTTCGGATTGGGAGCTTTTTTATTCCATCATCATAGGAACTCGGACATTGTTGGAGCCATTGGAGCGCAAATGCTTCCGCACCGCGTCGTCGTCGAAACGTTGGCCTCCAAGGGCTTCTTTAAGGGGTCCAAAAAGATGGAAACAGCAAGGGGACAAGTCGGGACTATATGGCGGATGTTCCAGCGTTTCCCAGCCTAATGCATCCAGTTTTTGCCTTGCGGCATTGGCTGCAGGAGGCCTGGTGTCGTCATGCAAAAGAATGACACTTCTTACCGATTGCTTCTTCCTTTTCCTTCGAAATGACAATGTCCCGGCATCCAGTAATTTACATTTACATTACATTTCTTTTTATATTGTGCATTAATCGTGCGTCGATCATGGAGAAAATCAATGTGAAGAGCATCTTGCCGATCAAAAAACATTGTTGCCATTTCCTTTCCGGCTAACAAATGCGTCTTTGCCTTCACCGGTCCCCTCGCCGCTTTTTCTCCACTTCATACTCGCCTGTTTCGACTTGGGCGTGTAGTGGTGCACCCAAGTTTCGTCAGAGGTGACTGTGATTCAAAAAAGCTTCACTCTCTTGCTGGAATCGATTAAAGTGTCTCTACGAAATCTCCAATCGATGTTGCTTGTGTTCCTCCGATAACAGACGGGGAATCCATCTGGCAGACACTTTATGCATATTCAAGTCGTCAGTCACGATCCTGTGGACACTCCCTTAACTGATGTTCAGTTTCTCAACGATTTCCCAGAGAGTTATGCGGCTATTTTCCTCCATGAGATTTTGGACTGCCTCAATGTTGACTTTGGTCACATACGGGTTCTTGACAGGGTGTTGTCCCCGAACTGTGCCTGAAATCGCCGCAAAATTTCGGTTGGATTCACCCCCTCCTTAACCAAAAACTTAATTATAATCCATTGCTTGACGGAGACATGCACTTCTGTCTCGCTCATCGTTTCTCTGCATACTAAAGGGCCTCCAGCGAATTGCGGTCGGTTCTCCCCACTCCCTAACGGTACAGGCTATCTGCTGCGCATCAACTCCTTCAAGGTCAAGGACCCCTCCGTAATATTTTAAAAAATCAGTTCCGTTTATATTTGATATACCCTCGTAGTTTAAATTTCACTGTAAATTTAAACTTAATAAAACAACACTGCACTATAAAAATAAAATTATTTTACCTCCTAAACCGATAAACTGAAAACTAAAAAAGAAATAATAAAATGAAGCGATGACGATATATTTGGCCATTCTCATTTCGCTGTTGGCTATTTGTTTTCTGCCCATCTAATGTGCTGTTGTCATATCACATCAGGTGGATTGATATTATGTAATTCACTTAAATGAGATAACACTGAGATTCACAAACTAAACACAGTGCTTTAAAAAAAGGAATGATTAAAAAAAATGAAATTTATTGGATTATATATTTTTTAATTTTTTTATGATCAATTTATAAAATGTCAAAAATAATTATTGAAAGAACTTAAATTAGTTTTACATGCAAATAATAACATGTACCTATCCGCGCACCGGTTGATTTAAAAAGGCAACAACAGACAACACTGATAAGGGCGCACATATATGACTAAGTTTGCGTGTTGCCCAGTGACGGCGTAGACAAGCCTTTAAGTGCAGTTTAAAGTACAAATTATAGCTCAACTAATTATTTGATTACTATTTTGGGGAACATGTACTATTACCTTTAAAAAACTTTCAGGTGGATCACTTCTGACCTTCTTGAGGAAAAAGGCAACAAATTTAACGGAGGGGCAGCTTATGAAGATGTGCATGGATGCCGCGGCGGGGATGCGATATTTGGAATCCAAGAACTGCATCCACCGAGATTTGGCGGCTCGTAACTGTCTAGTAGGTAAGGTGGAATTCGTGACGTATTCTAATATCGGTTGTGACATAACCTAATTTTTAGGATACAATAATGTGGTTAAAATATCCGATTTTGGTATGTCCAGGGAGGAGGAAGAGTACATCGTGTCTGACGGGATGAAGCAAATTCCGATAAAATGGACAGCGCCCGAGGCCCTAAATTTTGGAAAGTACACCTCACTTTGCGACATTTGGAGCTACGGAATACTGTGCTGGGAGATATTTTCGAAGGGTAGCACCCCTTACAGCGGCTTGAGCAATTCCAAAGCCAGGGAAAAAATCGATAGCGGTAAGAAAAATAAGTGCCTCTAATACGAAACTGGGAGGCTGCATTTTATATTTCGGGGGTGGGTGATGCTGATGCCTTTGTTATTAATTGTACAAAAGTAAACGACCCGACCAACATTTTACGTTTTAGGTTATAGAATGCCCGCTCCAGAGAATACACCGGACGAAATGTACCGGCTAATGTTGAGGTGCTGGGAATACAAGCCGGAGAACCGACCAAACTTCGAACAAATCTATACAGTTGTGGAAACTCTGTGTGCCGCATACAGAGTGTCATTCTGTTGACGTACCAACGACAACGACGACGATGATTGCAAGAGTCAATTGTACCGTTTCTGTGATGAAGTCCACGAAACGATTGAAAACATAGTAAAATCGTTAGTGGTCAAATTATAAAAGTTGCGTAATTGAGGCCGCTTTTTTTAAATTTTAATATCAGAATTTTTAGTGCCATAAAAACTGTTCGTGTAACTGTTACGTGACTTTTATATTTTTCTTGTGCAAAAATCCGAGGTGGGTTCAGTTCAGTGTTTTATATGTATTTTTATATATATGGGGTGTTGAACGAACAAGATTTCCTACGTTGTAACCGGCAACGTCAAACATGCACAGTCCCTCAATTTAAAGACGATTCTTTTTGTTCTTTGAACTTTTCAGTGATATTTGGCAGCCCGGGTTGAGGTACATGTTCGTCATCACCGCAAACTGTATTAACATCATGAAGCAACCGCTCCCTAACTTGTTTCACTCATGATACACTTTGAAAAAGTATTCTGTTATTTATTAAAAAAGGGTATATACAGGGTGTTCAATGAAAAATTTAACGGTTATCGAATCCTTTCTGAAAGGCCACCCTCATAGAGCAAGTGCGAGTGCACAGAATTTGTGGGAAATACAGCAGAGATAAGAAGAATTGAGATCGCGCAAACTATCAAATCGACTGGAAGCGAATGTGGGCCATTGTCAACGTTGATCGTCCGAGGTGTGGTCGCTGACTGCGGGTTTAGTTAGGCGATTTTGGTTGCTCCACCACCTGGACTTTGAATGGGTTGTGTGTTTGGCCCAGAATCGAAACATAAGTTTGATTTCGGGGTTATCCGTGATAACAACAAAATTAGTAAGAACGCATATTTACGCATTATAAAAATGTATATTCAGATACGCAACGACACAATGTGATGATATGTCGAATGTACAACTCGACAACATGTGCCATACTTTAAAGCTAGCTTCCTTAGATGAAAATAAGATTATTTAAGTCAACGTCGGTTTCCTTAAGAGGGCAAGCAAATAGGCAACCAGCAATACATTTTTATAGATTTTGTTACACAGTTTATTTAAAAATGAATTAATGCACAAATAACAGACTTTCCTCCATTCTAACGCAGATTTTCTATAAAATGGAGTTAGTTGAAACTCGAATTACTTTTTGTTGTAAAGAAATTTGTAATTTGCCGCTCTTGAACAAATGCCATCATAAATTACAAATTTCTTTACACCAAAAAGTAGTTTGAGTTTCAAACCATGTCCATTTTATAGAAAATCTGCGTCAAAATGGGGGAAAGTGTTATTTGTGGATTACTTCATGTTTGGACAAACTGTAATAAAATCTATAAAAATGTATTGCTGGTTGCATATCTGCTATAAAAGCCTCCTAAGCAGTTGTCTGAGAAAAATTTTTATTTTTTACGATTTATTTATTTTTTGGGTATTGTACTCGAATTATGGACCAGAAGATTTTTTTATGTGACTAAAACGGATATATACTTGTTTTGTGCTTCCGAGCGCCTATGCCATTATATTTTTCAAATTTTTTTTTTATGAATGGAAATTTTTGCAAAACAATTACTTATTCTGAAACACCATTCTATTTGCCTTAAAAAAGGTATACTTGTTGGATATTGCTAAAATGCACCATTTAAACTATTTGTTATGTTTGAAAATGGAACAACGGAGAATGAAAATGGCATGAAACACAGAAAAATACGACAAGTAAAATAGACAATATTTAAGAATAACGAAATAAGTAAAATTAACCGTTTAAACCTAAAAGCAATAACAAAAGCAACACCTTCATTTTAAATTTGATTTTTGAAATGTCCGCAATTTGCACTTTCGGAATTTCTTCTAACTGGGAAGAATGTCGGATGGATATGCTTAATATCATTGTTGCTGTCACTGTTCTTTCCACAATTAATTTCTGGTGGGGTCAGAACAAACTAGAGTTTGAAAATATCCCCTGAAATAAAAATCCAGAGGATTCAAATCTAGACTTCGAGGAGGTCACGGATGTTCACTTCCTCGTCCGATCCACTGGGACATCATCTTGTAAGTGCCGCATACGAGCCCTAATATTTAGAGGAACATCATCTAGCAGATCGAATAAATTATGCTGGAGAAAGTTTAAGTAATTGTACCAAGGTGAGTTGACTTATAACACCTTATTTTCGTATAGTCTTGAGTTATGGCCCATTCTTTACTGAACACCCTGTGTATATTCAAAACGAAAAAAGAGCAATATGAAAAAATTGCCACCTTATTCAATCGAGGCGTGCAGTTTGGGAATCACTCCGTTACTAGCTTTAGATTTATAAAATCTTTTCATTTCCATTAAATGGCAACTAAGTATTTAATTTATTTGGGATGTGAAAAAATGAATTTTATTTTACTATTTTTAACATTTATCGTTTCTGTTAAATGTACGTAGCTTAAGTTTCTGATATTTTTTACAATTACTATTAAGAATTTTGATAGATCTGAATGTGTGCAGTTGTTTATTTTACTGTGATTTTACTGTATATACTGTATTTTTATTAACAATTACAAGATTTTTTATGTTGATTTGAATCTCATTTATAAGAAAGATAAGAATGTCGAAAATTTTTAAGAGAATGACCAGTCAATGATCATTGCACCCCATCCCTCTGTCCCTTTTGATTTTATAACCAACTAACCAATGAATGGTCATTAATTTCAAATTTTTTTATTCAAGTTCAATGCTATTACCGACAAAATTCATAGCGACTAATTGTAATGAAGTTGTGAAATTTAGCAACAGTTAAGGTGTTACTAACATGTTTATAACATGGCATTCAATTATTTCTAATCAAATTAAAATATTTTATTTGGGTATCATTAAAACTTAGCCGTGAATATTTCGATGAACAAGGCAGAAATTAAAAATAGTGAGATAATACAGAGCCATATCAGCGCCGAGCTTAGGCAACCAACACTGCACAATTGGCACTCAACTAAAAATCCCTAAATTTTAGCGCCACCAATATTAATTTATTTACAACGAACCTTTACGTCTATGCTCGAGATAATGAGATCACTGATTAGTTGAATAGAATCTCGTGAAAAATGCCGGTGAAACAGAATGATCATTTATATTTATACGTGAAGATTTCCTCTACTGTACGGAGGAAAATGAGTCAATTTTGAGGAATTTTTTAAACTAAGAAATATTCATTCTACATTCATCGGACTGTAGGTGTTCTTTAACCCTTTCACTGCTCCAGATGTATTTATTCGCTAAAAATTTATAGGGCCCAAACTGCTCCAGACGGATTAATTCGCTTGAATAGTTAAATTGGATCAGGCTGCTCAAACCGTATATATTCGCAACCATGCGCATAGTGACTAGGTTGTTGCAATTGGTATGGAGAATTTTTGCGGGCAGAGTTTATAGCGATTATGAAAAATATTTTTATGGAAGGAGGTACTGGTACTGATTGTTCATCTTTCTTTCAGTTTCTATTTAGTACAGCTGTCGATATACTGTATTTTATTCAAAATAAAATCGTAAAATATATCGTAAATCGTAATTTAACACAACATGATGTAAAACTAAAAGTTACGCGATAAACTTTCGCGCACGGCGCGGTAGCTACGTTCAGACGTATTGCGCAGCGAAAGGGTTAATAGGACATTCAAGTATAAAAAAAATTATTTTGAATTCATTCATTGTCAAAATGGCAGAGCTGTGGTATAAAGTCACAGCACGTTGCAACATGACTTCCAAAATGGTGTTCAGCCTAACTCCCCGTGAAATTTGAACTGCAACTAAATACAAAAATATTCTTGTTTAAAATATTACACACGTTTCTATGTGATATTGAGAAAAATGGGAAAAAATGCATTTAAGACAAAAATTGAATTTTCATGCGAAATTTCAGTAGAATTTGTAAAAAAATTGTTTTTTTCATAATTTTCTTTAATCAGTTTCTGTCATATGGAAGGTAATAATGTTATCAACATTTCTACCAAGGGGGAACTCAATTGGTTCAATAGTTTTGCATAATCGTGTACACTAGTTTCATAAATGTAGTTGTGAGAAAAACGGTAAATCCCCCTTCTGATTTTATCCTTTACCGTCGTTTGACAAATAAGCGTCGCTGTGGACAATGGGTAAAAGGGCAACTATAAACTGTAAACAAACTTGGACGGCTATTTCCGAAAATGGTTAATTCTACTTGGCGAGTATACCTGCCCCTATGTGCTCTTGCTTTTACCCGCGGTGTGCGCTTCAAACCCGAGTGGACATGTACATCGATTATTTGAGCGTCACAGTTCTTTTTGAACATACAAGACATTTAATGAAAAAAACTGTTTTGTAACAATCCATTATTCCCTATAGTTCATTTTATAACCGAATCAATAATAAAGAGTGGCGCAAGAAGGCCACTATGTTTGAATAATTAACGTTGATTTCTCTTACAGGTAAATCAATCCAATCTAACAATTCTTGTAGTATGCACAACTGAGCAATCAAATTTATATGAAAATAATCGCTTTGTAGGTAATTATTTCGTGCCTACAAACGGAATTTTTATTTTTTTTTTAATTGCCAGTGTTGCGAGAAACAACTACTCCGCGGGCTATATTCCCCGACCGGCATTGAATTATACTCGCAACACTTAGTGCAACGGCTAGGATCGTCCGTCAGTTAACCCACCAGACCGGTTTTGGACTTATTTGTCCTCATCAGTGTGTCATAGGTGAGACAACCGACGAACGATCCAGCCGTTATGCGGCCATATCCTTACGACAAGGAGGTACATTGTATGCGGAGCGCAAATGACTCCATCCAACGATCCTAGCTGTTATACTAGATGTTGCGAGTATAATTCAATGCCGGTCGGGGCATATAGCCCACGGAGTAGTTGTTTCTCGCAACACTGGCAATTAAAAACATTGTGTTTCGCCCTCTGTGGGCGGCAGTCGTGCAACAAAGTACCTGACGATATAGCAGGTCGCTTCCTACTGTAGCCAGCTGAATGGCACAGTTGGGAGTCTGCACGACAGATGGAGCCATTTGCGCTCCGCATACAATCTAAATATGGAAATATTTCAATTTCAAATAAGAGGGACAAGGGCGAGGCCATAAAAGTGAAACACATTGTTTACTACTTATTTTTTTATTAAATTTGATAAAGTTGGGATTTTTATTTGGCATGCCACAAAACAAATTTTTACTCAGTGACCTCAGTGTGCCGTAAAGTAAAATCTTTAGCAGCAGACAGTGATCTAGGTATATAGTATTAAATGGTACACCTATTACTCAAGATTAGGGTCGTAGCTAGAGACACCCTGGAGGCAGCTGCCAGAAGCGCACTCACAGAAATGTATAACTTAAATTACACTTTAAAGTTATTGTATCGTTTCTCTACAAAATAAGTTTTGTGGTGCGCAAAATTTAAATCTTGCCCTGGTCGGTCATGACCTTAACTATGGACACTGCTCAAGATGTCACTAAATTAAATAAATAAACAGATATGTAAGAACTTGTTTTATTTGTTTAGAGCATTTACAAATACAGCTTAATGAGTTCGTCACTAACTGCAGATGGCGTCAATATTCCAATGTCTGTAAAAAGTAGTGTAATATAAGAAGGGGGAGTGTAATCCACCAAGGGGTGAATTTTCTTCGTATCTCCACTTTTCCTTACATCCGAGGTATACTAAAAAGTAAGGGGAAATATGTTTTTTTTTTCTAAAATATACCGGGTGATTTTTTCAACCTGTAACTTTCAAATATCTAGAAAAATAAGCATTCTATGAAAAAAATGTCCAGAACCAAAATTTAATAATTCGGTGGCAGGGAGTAACTTTGAAATCTTAAATAGGAACCCCTTTTTTGATTGCAGATACAGGTTTTACGGTTAAAAGTAAAATTTTTTTTAATTTCATGGTGCTGTAATCGATGACTCAGTTTTTTTTTTCAATTTCAACTACTGAGAACCTCTGCATATGATTCTGCAATACGTTTGCAATAAAAAATGCACGTTTTATGTAAATATTCAAAATTCATCGTCAACAGAGTTTATTCATTTTGTAAATTTTGAATAACTGGGAAATTGTTATCTGTAGAAATGTAAATGCCTGGTGATTAAACTATTTTTAATGTAACCCAAGAATGATGTGGGCATAGTAATTTCCTGTTATCTTTGGAGCGCTTGATTAACGCGAGTACCTTCGTCTCTCACGTATCGGAGTGCAATTATTAATCTGCATTTCAAATAATATATGTCTGCTTGAATTTCTGATTCACTCATCTCACATGCTGTTGGTTTTCATTTGTAAACTATGACTTTGACATAACGCCACAAAAAGAAATCTGGCGAAATAAAATCTGGTGGTATAGGAGTCAATTTACCAGCCCTGCTCTACTGATCCGGTGGCCATTGAAATTACGATTCATACTTTATGTAAAAGTACGTAGAATCCAAATTTGCAATAAAAGATAGTTTAGCAGTAATGTATTTCCTCCGCAAAATGATAAAATTTTTGTTATGGACATTTTTTCGTAGTGCTTATTTTTTGAGAAATTCGAAAGTTTCAGGTTAACAAAAATCCCCCGATATATTTTATTGTTAACTCTGTTATATATTATTAGATAAATTCAAATTCAAAAAATTTTTCTTAAAAAATCACGTCAAATGTAGTCAAAGACAAGACGAGATTCCCAAATGTTGATATTACGGGAGACAACTACTCTATGGGTTACAAGCTCCAAGTAGCGTTGAATTAACCAAATAATATCTAATAAATAGCTAGAAATTAATAATAGAAATAGAAAATATATTTTTTCAATTTTAATTAGCACAAATTAAATAAAAATAGGTCAATTTTTTTTAAATCTACAACTTTTATTTTTTTTTGTATCTCTAAAAATAACGGAGACAATTACAAAGAACTTACCTTATACTCTTCGGGTAAATCTTGTTGGCCCAGAGGGAACAGCCTCGTAAATTTGAAACTTTCTGTTAGGACGTAAAATGGTTTCTTCATTTCTTTGGCACATACCGCTATAGTGTTACTTCCAATCTAATAAAAATTAACAAAATATCAAATACAAATATAAGAACAAAATTCTAGAAAATTACCTTATTTACTATCCCTCCACTTTCTACTACACCTTCTGCACCGACCATGATGAAGCTGACCTGATCCATAATATAACCAATGGCGGAATCCAGAATTAACGTACAAGGTATACCGTCGGCTTCCAAATCCTTACACATTCGCTTTCTTAACACGTAAATTTAAATGAAAGCGTTGATTATCATATAACCTATAAAATAATCTCGTATTCTTACCCACTATTATCTGGAGCAGATATCGTGACAAACACCTCAAATCTTTTATTTTGTTTATGTGCCTTTCTTAAAGTCTGTAATACAACACGTGATCTAGAATGGGTCAACACTTTCTAAAATTGAAGTAAATTACTCTTTCATCTGACGATTGTGTCGACACTTACTGAACCGTCTTCTATAAATTTTGCAGCTAACTTTACAATTTTTCCTCTAGCTTCATCTAGTTTCCGTATAAAAATATGCCCCCTGTTCAACATAATGGCTTTACATTCATCAAATGTCTACAAAAAAAAAGAAAGCACTGTTAGGAATTGTAAATAAAAATAAGTAAGTTACACCTTAGTATCCAGAACTGCCAAAGTAATAAATCTTAGAAATAACTCGCAACCAGAATTCACTGCCGCCACAGGATAAGTAGAAGATTTCATTATTTGTATACCATCCTTTAATGTGGCTTCCAACTCCTGCACTGTTTCAGCTAAAATATAAATGAAATAAAAATATACTCTACCTAAAATTAACATTACCTATACTCAATACTCAAGATTTAAACCAGAGCCATTACCAATGCAGGACTCGAAAATTATAATGTAATCGCTTACAAATAGATGACTTTCACAAAATTACTATACTAAACTTACAAGAGCTTGTCAAAAACTGATCATGTTAATTTAGTCAGTAGTATCATCGATTCTGTTGTTTAAAGTAGGAATGAATTTGTACTTAAAAATCAATTAAAACAATCATATGTTGTAAGACTAAATTTTACATTTGTAGGGTGTACTATTGTGTTTTACATTCAAGAATAGTTTCTAGGTGTCGGATACTTTTCACTTCCTTACAACTTAAAAACAGCAGCTAGTGGTTCATCCGATCTCAGATTATAGTTATCGATAATCGCTTAAGTACAACATAATAACGAACTAATTTTATGAGTAATACTAATAAATTTACACTTTGAATGTTTTATTATTTCCATGAGGGTCCGAATTGCAGCTACCCCTACAGATATATCTTCATCTTCTTTTATCATCTTGGAAAAGAATTCCCGTACTTCTGAAACAAGCAAATTTTTAGTTCCACTAACGATTTAATTAATGATAATAGTAACACATAATAATCATTCTTGAGGTATAAAAAGTAATGAATAAATAATATTCAAACTTACTTTCACCTCTCATATTGGATATTTTGTCCACAAATCACATTAATAAAAGGTTTACCACAGTTTAATGATTTATATTTCTATGTCTGTTTGTTATGCTTTCTATTCTAGCCCTAGAATATGATTATGATTAAACAGCATAATAAACGTTCACGAGCAAAGAATAAATTATAAATATACAAATACTCTATTATATATTTTGTGACAAATATTGTCTGTCGATGACGATATTTAGGTATTTTAGGTTATGTAATGTAGTGGTACTCGTGATTGGCAGTGTATTATATGTTTTGTGATTGGCAGTGTTGGTCGTTGCCACAAAACATATAATGTGGTTGGTATGCATGGTCCGTAAAGATGGACCTTTTTTATGGACCGTGGTTGGTATGTTGGTGATATTTGTGGCTTGTCTCTAGAAGAAGACAAAGAAGAAGAAGAATATGAATATGAACCTAAGTATACACCAAGGATTTTATACTTGTATAAAATTCTTGAGTATACACTACTAGAGGCGAGTTCCTAGCGGGCAGCCGACCAGAGCACACGTGTTTTGTGAAAGTGTAGTGCAAGGAGCAAATTCTACCTGCCTTTATTAAGGCTACCTGGAAAGAATCCCTTTCTTTCCTTTTAATCACCGACCTAATCCCCGGCTTAAGCATAGACGCCGTCGGCATCTTTGTTACAGCACCTGTGCCGGGGTTATGCCCAGGTAAGTTTTTACTTATTTATCAGTTATTTTCATTACTTTAGAATACATTTCTTTAAAATTGCGACCCCCGACAAACAATATACCAGACAGACAAATACACCAAAAGACACGTACGCCCCCGTGAGGGGGCATCCCCACACGACTAACACTTACACACCTTCCC